AGGTGGCAGCATTCTACCACAAGTTAAAGCATGCCCTGGCAATGGCATTTCTGTTTCTAGTTAGCAAGTGGTTATTTAATATTTGCTGCTGAAAGGTGTGATGCTAATGCTGTATGTCCTTGCCCCCACAGGAAAATTAGTGTACGAGCGCATCTTTTCCATGTGTGTGGATAACCGCAGTGTCTTACCAGGTAAATGCATAGCTGTTCCATTGGTTTCCTTGTTCTTGCCTTGGAGTTGGGACTGCGTATCAGCTTAATGTAACCTTTATTGAAACCCAATGAGATTTTGGTTTTTATTTTTTGGTGTGTAAAAAGTAAAAGAAATATCTGTACTGATTGGTTTCTTAAAACAGGCCTGGCTATGAATTTGCACAAGTGATATTGAATCTGCAAGAAAGAAAAGATATTATAATTAGACTCAGCTGAATGTTTACTCTAAATTCTTTTCTTCTGCTGCCTGACATTTCTAGTATCTTTCCTAAGAAGCAAATTGCTTTTTAAGAATCAGCTTTCCATGTATCTTAGTAAGCACTGACAGATAAATCAACTGTGACAGATGCTTTGAATTGCTGGTCTCTACTCAGGTGATGCATTAAGTTTATTGCCAATCAATTTTAGTGCCTCAGGAGGTTATAATGGGACAGCTGGATTATGAATTCTTATCTTTTTTCTTTCAGCATAGAAATGATAATGATGATGTGTCTGGCAATGTGAAACTCTTAACAGCAGCTTCCTTTTCCTTTTATACCTCCTTTTAACCTCTCTTCTTAGCACTGCTGTGGGGACCGTTCTTATCTGTGCTGAGCTAGGGCAGCCAGCTTGCTTCACCTTTGCTCCACTTCTTTCTACTCCTGACAGTGGCACTTCTCTCGGGGATGAGAAAAGTGTCAGGGACAATAAACCCACAATTTGGTAGCACAAATGGTTAAGCACTCTACTGCTACCTGAAAGTTTCCTTGTTTAAACCCACCCAAAAGCCCCATGGGAGGAAGACCTGGCAATCTACTTCCATGAAGATTTACCAAAAAACCTGTTGCTGTCTAGTCAATTCCAACTCATAGAGACCCTATTATAAAACAGAGTAGAACTGCCTGGCCCATAGGACTTCCAATACTTTCATCTTTACGGAAGCATACTGCTACATCTTTCTTTCATGTTGTGGCTGGTGGATTCAAACTGTTGACCTTTTGGTTAGCAACCAAGTGCTTAACCACTGTGCCACCAATGCTCCTTCTGTAAAGATTGCAAAAAACCAAACTCACTGCCATCGAGTTGATTCTGACTCACAGCCACCCCATGGGGTTTCCAAGGCTGTAAATCCTTATGGAAACAAACTACCTCATCTTTCGTCTGTGGAGTGGCTGGTGGGTTCGAACCATCAACCTTTTGGTTAGCAGCCACGTGCCTTAACCACTGCACCCCCAGAGCTCCTTTCTAGAAAGATTATAGCCTAGAAAATCCTGCTGGGCAGTTCTTCTCTGTCACATAGGGTCACTGTGAGTTGAAAATAAACTTGACAGCAGTGAAAACAATACACACACACATGTGTTCATATATACATATGTATATATATGTATCTACATGTCAGAATTTATATTTTATATATACACATACAAGTCGGAATGTATATATTACATACATGTATGTATGTATACAAACAGACACACAACTATTTAATGTGCACAAAAATAAAGAGATAGAAATCCATAGACTTTTAGGGCTAGTAGGACTCTTAGGAATCATCTCATCAGGGATAAACCAAGTATGGATGCAAGTCAAGGACTTGCCCAAAGCCCTGCCACCAGCTTATGAGAAGAGAGCCTTGCCCTTAGCTCTGGACCTACACCGGCCAGTGCAGGGGCCACTGGCCACATGTGGCTCTTGAGCACTTGAGATGTGGCCAGACCAAAGTGAAACACCCAGGATTGCAAAAATTTAATACAAACAGAAAATTGCCAAATATTTCAGTTATAATTTCTATAGGCAATATATATTGAGATAATATTTTGGATGAATTGAGCTTAATAAAATATATCATTGAAATTAATTTTACCTTTTTTTGTGTGCTTATTCCTCTCCTTCAGTTTCTTGGAAATGTTGCTTCTGGCTTGTTTCACCTTTTTTAGGCTTCCAAAAAATTTACAGTTGCAATGTGGCACTGCTCTAGAGCCTCTGGTCCACTGCATGGTACCTGTGGTGATGTAACATTTTAACAGCTGATCCCATGTTCTAGGCATCTCAAGACTGGGAAGTAATGAGCCAGCCTGACTGAAAAGCCTTTCTCTGTCAGATTCGGGAAATCTGGACCTGTTGCCAGCTTGTGCTCCGTGTGCTGTACCAGCGGCAGGAAACTTAGTCTACAGCCGGAGTTAAACCCAAATAGATATTTTCTTTGGCAGCACCAGTACGTCTTAAAAAATGCTTTTTGGTACAGAGTCTACTTCTTCCTGATGTTGTGTACATAACCACTTAAACTATTTATATTACCCTGTGGTAGTACCTGGGTAATGTTTATATTATGTTTCATTTGAGCTTACATTTTGCAATAATTTTCTCTCATTCCAATTTCCGCTGATGATACAACCAACATTTTAAGGCAAATAAAGGAAAAATTACTAATAACTTACTCCTTACTCCAACTGGAACAGTTAAAAATAAAAGGATATTTTCATATTCACTTCCAGACCTTGTCTGAATACACTAATCAGCACTATAACCACTAAAATTCTTCTCTCCCGAAATATCTAGTTTTACTCTGAATGATGCAAATCAGGCTTTTGTTTTCTTGAAAATAATTTCTTTTCCTTTCAGTTAAAAATCTTTATCTGCTTGTGTTTTCTCTTATTCCGAGAACTTGAAAGGGAAAGAGCAAACTTTCTCAAAATTGTCAGTGATGTTGGGGACAACTCTTTTGTTCCCCCCTGAATTTTGTTTATTTTGTTGTTGTTGCTAATATACACGGCAGAACATAGACCAGTTCGGCAGTTTCTACATGTACAATTTAGTGACATCTGTTTCGTTCGAATTGCACCACCATTCTTACCTACTTTTTCAAGTTGTTCTTCCTTCACTAACATAAACTTCTCTGAGGCTCCTGTCTATCTTTTGAGTTGCTGTTGTCAGTTTGACCCCATATAGATAGTTCTTAAAAGAGCATAATGCTTAAGGCAGAGTTTTTTTTTCTTCCTTACTCATTTAGCTAAATTATTATTTGGTTTTAAGAAGACTTCAAGGCATGTTTTTGGTTTAAGGTTTAAAAGTTATCTCAGTGCAGTAGCTTCAGGGGTTCATCCAGCCTCCATGACACCAGAAAGTCTGGAATCCAAGACACTTTGAAATTATGTTCTGTGCTTTCCCCCTTTGACTGGGATTCTTCTATGGAATCTTTGACTAAAATGTTCAGTCGTAGTAGGTGGGCACCATCCATTTCTCCTGGTCTCATGGCACAGGAGGCAATTAGCCACACATTGCATATCCTCCTCTTATTCCTAACTCTCCTTCTTCTGTTGCTCCAGGCAGATAGAGACCAATTTCACCTTGAATGGCCACCTGGAAGCTTTTAAGACCTTGACAACAACTCTTTAATAATGAAGAAGAAACATTTTGAAATCTGTGCAGAATTTGCCTAAAGAAATTATGTATATAGAGAAGTCTGGTACCATTGGTTCTCATTCTTTCTTTGAATCTTTATTTGAATCAGGTCCTGACTGTAAATTAATATTTAAGCCCTGTGCCTTCAGGAGTTGTAGCTAAGATAATTGCTCTTTAGAAACATGCAGTGTCTTTTGGATTCTTGAAAGGTACATACTACTAGATGTGGTAGTTTGGTTGTGTTCCCCCTAGCATTTCTTGATCCAGTATTTGTTTAAAGAGTTCATCTACTCTGAGTGATAAAAATAATTTTATTTCCAGTCTGGAGGAAATCATTTGTGTGTATTGTATTGTGGTTCTCATCATGAACTGTTGACATTTTCATGTTTAGTTTTCCCCAGGGCTGCTGTAGGCTGTATCTGTACAAGCAGCGTCCTTAACTGACCTGGCCATTCAAGAACATGTGAGCTAAGCTGACATTACATTCCTATAAGCATTGTTATATAAAGAGACCTCTCACTGCTAGAGGACAGATTTGGCAAATGGAATAGAACTAGACTCACTGGTCTCCCTCCTAAAATATCCCCAGAAGTTCAGACATGAAAAGGAAGACTGTAAACAAAAAATAAGTGGGGACTAGAAGAAAAATCTCTGCTTTTTGTTACATCAAAGTCTCTTCTGGGTTGATTTCCAAATTCTGAATTCATTCCCCCTCCCCTTAGCAGCCCTAATGCTAAAGTATACATTGCATCACGTCAGGTCATGTCCTGCCACTCCTCCATTCAGAACCCTTCCTGGAGCCTCATCACACTTAGAAAATCTCTCAACTCCTTACCAAGACTGCAACCCGAACCTGGCTTGTTGTGATACCTCCTCTGAGTCCATTTCCTGTTCTTTCCATTCCTGCTCAACATGTTGTTTGCTTGCTTTCCGTTCTTTGACCATGCCGAGGTCATTCCTACCACAGGGCCTTTGCACTTGCTATTTCCTCTCCTGGAACACACTTCTTGCACTTGGTTGGCTCCTTTTTGTAATTTGGGGCTCCGCTCAAATGCCACCTCTGCAGGAGCCCTCCCTGACCACCCTATCTAATAAGCCCCCAACCCCCTACTCAAGTCACTCTCCATTCCAGTACATAGTTTCATATCTTTCACAGTGCTGACTGCTATTGGAAATTATGTTAATTGTTTGCTTGCTTTTTCTTCCTGTTCATTATTTGTCTTTCCCCAATGGAAGCTTCATGGGGACAGAGTCAGTCTTATGTACTATTGTATCTGCAGAGCCTAGAACAGCACCCTTAGCTCTTAAGAAATTTGTGTTGAACAAGTGAAATAAAAGAAATGTACTATTTCAGGAGTCCTTGGGTGGTGCTATTGGGTAAGCACTCGACCACTAGCCACAAGGTTGGCAGTTCAGACCCACCCGTACACGTGTCATGGAAGATAAGTCCAGCAGTCTGCTTTTGAAAGGTCATGCCCTGGAAAACCCTATCAAGTGGTTCTACTCTGTACACATAGGGTCACCGTGAGTCTGAATTGACACTGCATCAGCTAACAACAAGTATTTACTATAGAAATTTTAAGCTTTGCATAACAGAATCCTTTCCCTAACTTATCTCTTAAGCTGGAAGGGAGGTATAAAGACTCTATTGATGTATGCGGATTCTCGGGCCTTGCAGTTAGGTTTTGCACACAGTGCCATTGCCTTTAGTGTGATTTTCAGCTCTTGTAGGCAGCCTAAATCACTGTCCCACCCTTCACTGAACTTCAGTTTTTCATCTGTAAAGTGAGCGATTAATTAGGTGACCTTAGAGGCCTGGATTTGCTTTCAGGTTACAAGCCACGTGAGTAAGTCATATGAAGGGAAATGAACCTCACCTCCTTTTTTCCAAAAGACAAGATTGACAGAGGAATTTAAGACTAAACTGAATGTGTTGCTGGGCCTGGGTGCTAAGGACTTATCTCTTGGGGGATATCAAGGTCAATTGGCATAACATATCCTCCAAGACAATGTTCTTCATCCTAATTTGGTGAGTATCAGCTGAGGTCTTAAAAGTTTATGAGTGGCCATCTAAGGTGCAACTATTGGTCTGTCCACGTCTGGAGCAAAGAAGAATGAAGAATATTAAAGACACAAGGAAATAATTAATTTAAAGAACCGATGGACCATGTGAACTCTAGCCTCCTCGACCTTGAGATCAGAATAACTAGATGGTGTCTGGCTACGACTGGTGACCATTCTGAAAGGGATCACAATAGAAGGTCCCAGATAAAGTGGAAGAAAAATGTGGACAAATCTCAATCATAAAAATGGCCGGGCTTACTGTTCTGATAGACAGTGGTAGAACCCCCAAGAGCATGGCTGTTAGACACCTTTCAAGTCTGGACTTGAACTCACCCCAGTCCCTCAACTTTCGGCCAAACAATAGACAGGTTTGTAAGGTGAACAGTAACACCAGGGAGGTAACCACTTTACAACAGTTAATCATATGAGATCGAAAGGGCAGTATTTGTCCAGGGATAAAGCTCAGAAGGCAGGAAGGAATAGGAAGGAAGGACAAATGGAAATAGTAAACACAGGGAGGAAGTAGGAAGAGTGCCATTACGTTATAGGGATTGCAGTCAGTATCACAAAACAAAATGTGTGTGAATCATTGAATGAAAAAATAATTTGATCTATAAGCTTTCACCCAAACCACAATAAAAAGTTAAAAAAAAAAAAAAATTAGACAAAGAATAGCCCTTGCTTTTTCCTGTCTGGCTCTCTTGAAACTTGAAGCACATAAAGTTACTTTATGTGCAAAAGTTAAAGCCAGGAAGAGGAAAATGGTAATTTCCTGTCCTTTTGAAAATGACAGGTGGGTATACTTCTTGAACAAATGAGGCTTGCCAGGACATCCAAAAATAGATAAATACTTGAGCTTACAATATCAGAATTTCTACAGTTGTGGTTAGTGACTGTGCCTGACCCCTGAAGCACCTTCTTTTTGCTGATTTCTGTCAGAATTTTGATCACCTTAGTTGTCTCTTTCTTGTGGTGCAGTACGTAAAGCATTCGCCTGCTAACCAGAAGGTTGGAGATTCAAACCCATTGGCCACTCCATGGAAGGAAGATGAGACAATCTACTTCCATAAAGATTTACAGCTTTGGAACCCCAATGAGGGTCTGTATGTATTGGAATTGACTTGAGCAGTGGGTTTGGTTGTATATTACCAGGTAGCATATTCAGGGGTGGAAAAATAGCTCTCTGCAAAGCAAGATAAAAGCCAACAAGCTCAGATTCATTTGCTACATTAAAAATAATTTAAAAAATAAAAATACTTGGGAATAAATCTCACTAGGGACAGAAAAGACCGTGCAAAGAAAACTATAAACACTACTTCAAGAAACTATGAGATCTACATAAATTGAAGAACATACCATGCTTGTGAATAGGAAGATTGAACATTGTGAAAATGTCAGTAATACCCAAAACAATGTATACATTCAATGTAGTCCCAATCAAGATTCCATCAGCATTCTTTAAGGATATGGGAAAACCAGTCACTAAATTTATAAGGAAAGGAAGGAGACCTCAGATAAGCAAAGCACTATTGAAGAAGAAGAACAAAGTAGGAGGTCTCACACTCCCAGATCTCAAAACCTACTATACAGCCACAGTAGTCAAAACAGCCTGGTACTGGTACGACGACGGACACACAGACCAGTGGAACAGAATTGAGAACCCAGAAATAGATCCATCAACCTATGGTCAGATGATTTTTGACAAGGTCTGAAATCCATTACATGGGGAAGAGATGGTCTGTTTAACAAATGGTGCTGGTAAAACTGGATATCCATTTGCAGAAAAATGAAACAAGATCCATACCTCACACCATACACAAAAACTAACTCCAGATGGATCAAAGACCAAAGACATAAATGTGAAACCTAAAACTATAAAAGTTTCTCAAGGAAGAACTAGGGGCAAATTTAGGGGCCCTAATTTATGGCAGGGAGCTCTGGTGGCATAGTGCCTAAGGCATTTGACTGCTAACCTGAAGGCTGGTGGTTCAAACCCAACAGCCACTCCTCAGAAGGAAGTTTGGGCAATCTACTTCCATAGTGATACTGTCTTGGAAACACAAGGAGGGGTCGCTATGAGTCAGGTCTGACTCGACGGCAGTGTGTTTTTTTGTTTTTAATTTATGGCATAAGTAGACTGTCAAGCATCACTCAAAGTGCAAAACCAGCAGAAGATAAACTGGATGAATGGGACCTTCTAAAAATTAAATTTTTACATGCTTCAAAAGACTTCTCTGAAAGAGTAAAAAGAAAACCTCCAGATTGGGAGAAAATATTCAGCAATGATATATCTGACAAGGGATTTGCCTCTAAAATTTGTGGAAAACTACAGCACCTCAACAACAAAAAGACAAACAATCCAGTTGAAAAATGGGCAGAATAGACACTTCACCAAAGAAGATATTCAGGTGGCCAAGAAGCACATGAAGAAATGTTCACCATCATTAGCCATTAGAGAGATGCAAGTTAAAAGAACAATGAGATACCATCTTTCTCCAACACTAATAGCAAAGTTCAACAAGACAGAAAATAACAAATGCTGGTGAGGATATGGAGAGATTGGGACTCTCATACACTGCTGGTGGGACTATAAAATGGGGACTGTGGAAAGCAGTACTGTGAATGCTTGAGAACTGGAATTAGAAATACCATTTGATCCAGCAATACCATTACTAGATATATATCCTAAAGAAGTGCGAGCCAGGACAAGAACAGATATGCACACCCATGTTCATCGCAGCACTATTTACAATAGGAAAAAGATGGAAATGACTTGGGTGCCCATCAGCAGAAGAATGCTAACCAAACTGTGGTACATACACATAATGGAATATTGTGCAACACTAAAGAATAGCATAGAATCTGCAAAACACTGTATAACATGGATGAACTTGGAGGACATTATGCTGAATGAAATAAACAATCACAGAAGGACAAATAATTAGTTCATTATTATAAAAAGTCAAGGCAAGATTTATATATGGAAGGAAAGTTTCTTTCTTGGTTACAAGGGTGGAAGGGGAGGGGAGGAAACATTGCAAAAAAATAATAAAGTATTAATAATAATAAATAAAATAAAAATTAAAAGTTTGATTCCTTCATCACTGGGGAAAAAAAAAAAATTAGAATTTCCTTTTTTGATTGAATTCTGAAAGCACGAAACATCCCAGTGGTGGAATGAGCTCCAATGTTTTGACAAAATTATTTAGAAGAAATCATTTCTGTTTCCACCTGCGAGTTCAACAGTAGTTTTCTTGGTTTTCTGTTTGTTTCCATTTTTCTATATTCCCTTCCATTTCTTACTATGATGTGTTTCAGGATTAGGCTGGGGACCAATGACAGAAAACTCAACAACAGAGAAGATGGGAGTGGGTGGGGCAGCCACCTGACCAGAGACCCTAGCTGCTTCTGTCTTCTTGTTGTAATGGGTCAAGATGGCTACAGAAGCTCCAGCCATCATGTCCCCATGCCAGCCAGCAGGAACGAAGAATGGGTGAAGGAGGACAGTCCTGTACCCTTAAAGACATTTCCCCAAAGTTGTACTTCTGTTTTCATCCTGGGATCAGAACTTGATCACAAGGCCATACCTAGCTGTGTAGCTACAGGGATGGCCATATGCTTACCAAAGAAATGAGAGTTCTATTGTTAAAGAATATAAGAACAGATAATGGGTAAAACTGTTTTTGCCACCAGGTAACTGTGGTCATAGAGTCTCACTATTGCTCTGGAAACCTAACTGGCTGGTTCCTTACCTCAGGCGCTTGCTTTCCTCTCATGTTTGGCTCATGTGATGCTTAGAGTGTTATAACTGAAGGTTCCCAGAACAGTATCAGCACAGTTACTGGTGAGTATACCAAGAACCTCTGCATTATATTAGAGGCAATGGCTAAGAACAAGGCCTTGGAACCCTACTGCCTGGGTCTGAATCCTCGGTCTTGTGATTTCTTGCTGTGTGCTATGGACATGTTAAAAAACTCTGTTGACTTGGTCTTCACATCTACAAAAAAGAGTAATAAAGGTACATGCTTTGGAAGGCTGTGGTGGGGACTGGCTGAGCTAGTGCCTATAAAGCTGCGAACAGTACCTGGCACTTAGAAAGCCTCTATGTGTAAGCCATCGTTGTCATTAATTGTTTTCTAACAATAATAGTAGTAACACTTGGAAGGAAAAGCGTAGATGGTCTGATATACCACTCCTTGTTCTGTTCTGTGGTAACGTTTTCTTGTCCCAGGACTCCTGGCGGCTGGAACAGGTGCTGAGGATTAGGTGAGCTGATGCGTGGTGTTTTTGTTTTACAGAGCACTTTTCTCCAGACAATGTAAATGACACGGCCAAAGAAACATGCTTAAATTGGTTTTTTAAGATTGCTTCCATCCGGGAACTCATTCCGAGATTGTATCCTTTCATTGTCTCATGACTGTAAAGACAGGCTGTAAGAGTTGCACTGTTGATAGAAGCCATGTGATGGAACGTCCGTGGTAATGCCTGGTGAAAGTTTGGTTCTGTTGTGGTTGGTGGCTTGAGAATACAGGGCAAGCCCGTTGCAGAAGCTTTTGGACTCCAAATAGTTTTGTTTTTTTACTTTAAATTCAGTGCCATGTACCAGAGTTTCATTTCCTTGAGGAACATTCTCATATTAATTCTCTCAATTAAAATGTTTCATCTTTGCATATTTTCTCTGGTTCCAAGAACTTAAAAGGAATGGGGTCAAGCTTTTTCTATGTAAATATTGAAGAATAGAAAATTTGACTGATAATATAAATTAAATCATAGTTATCTAAAGTTCATTCTTTCCCCATAAAGCCTTGATTGGAAATGCTCAAAGCCTAGTTTAAATTTCAGCATGCAACCGTGAATCAACATGTAACATTTTCCAAAATTTATTTTATGTAAGTAAAAAAATCTCAAAAACCAAATACAGAAACTACAAGTCACTAGCTACCTGAATTCTCTGGACTGTTGAGGGCCATCGTGGTCCACCTCTCCTGAAGACTTGAATGGTTTAGTCTTTTTCCCTGTAGGGGACAGACTATGTGGAAAATGTCTTCCTTAATGGAATATTTTTGTAGTTATGTGGAAGCATCCATCTTGAAGTGTAACAAGTTCCTCTCCAAAACGTAAGACTCCTTTTAAATGTCTAGAACCATAAAATTTCTACAAAGTATTTACACACCCAGAGGTACGTAACATACCTCACTTATCAACTGTCTTGTTATCTGATCTTTCACATTTACGATAATAGTAGAAAATCTACCATCTGAGGACTTGGCACATTGATGACATATGTCTGACAGTAATGAATGCCAAGGTGCGAGGAAAGGGTAACACTGGCTGTGATAGCAGGTTATGTGTCAACTTGGCTGGACCATGATTCTCAGTGGTTTGGCAGTTATGTGACAATATAGTCATCCTCCATTTTTGCATAATGCCAGTTTTCACCTAATGGAAACTAAGCATGTCAAGAAGAGAGGAGCAGGGAGGGCAGTGTAGTGGGAGCTGTGATTTATGAGTGCTTACTGTGAAGTAGATGTGGTGCTATAAGTAAGCATCTTCCATGCATTTTCCCATTTAAATCCTTGTGGAAACCTAATGAAGCAGAGACACCATCTTTATCCCCATTTTACTGAGAAGAAAACTAGGATAGATGGATAACTTGTGGCAGATTAGGCCAACTGGATTTTGACTGTGGCTCTGCTGCTTACCAGCTGTCTAATCGTGGACAAGTGATTTAACTCTCTGAGCCTTGTCCTCTCTTCTGTGAGTGTGGTGTTGAGAAGGGAACTGTGAGGGTCCACTGAGCTGCAGAGACTGCACTGAGACCACACCTGGCACTCAGTAAGCCCGCACTAAGTGTCAGCTGCTTCTTTGAAGATAATAAAAATGGTGATGTTGAAGATGAATATGATGTCAGGATCAACAGGATCAACAGGTTTTGCACCTAAGCCCCATTTATTCTAGGTCCCCTCAGACATTGTTCCAGATCAGCTTTTCAAACCACTGGTGAAACACTGAGTCCTGTTGGGTAATTAGTTAATAATCTCCTGGAAGCCAGGGACTGACTCCATGAATAATAAATATTTGGATTTGATTTAGAATTTCCCCACCATGTATTTACTTTGGATGTAGAGATACCTGGCTTTGTTTGGGGGAAAGCATTGCTGCTGAAACAGTTACTTTGCCTCACCAATTGTGGGAGGGTAACACCTCAGGCAGAGAGATGTCCCATGTGGCTGAGAAGTGAGTCATGCGTCACGTTCATTTACATTGGCATGGGATTTGCTAATGCCAGCCTTATGGTAAGATGCTGGAGGGCTGAGGGGCTGGTGCACGGATCAGTAAATCAATACAAAAGGAAGATAGATTATGAGAAATAGCAAGAGAAGGTTAGAGATGACCAGTTGCTAGAAGATAGTTGGAGGACAAACGTTGTAGAAATTGCTAAAACAAATGAGACCTCAAGTAGGAAAAGAGTAAAGGTTATTAACCTGTTGCATTGAGCAGGTGTAAAGACGAAAGAAACCATTAAATGCATGAACTGTCCCAAGAAAGACCTTGGTTTGTTCCTGAAACTAGATTTCTTTTTGCCCTAAATTTAGGAAGTCTAGCTTTATCATTTTAAAAAGGAAAGAACTACAAGTTTTCACATATGGTGTAATGTTGCCCTCTCTTTGTTTTAACAGAGGGATTTCAGAATGCCTGCCGCGACTGACATTCATGATTCGAGGGATCGGGGACCCGCTGGTGTCTGTGTACGCCAGAGCCTACCTGTGCCGGGTAGGTCTGATGGAGCTGTGCTGCCAGGGGACCCACTTGCTGTCCCTAAACATTCACGTGGGGCCTCTCCTTTCCAGACACCTCTTAAGTCACTGAACGAAAGACTTTGTTAGCTGCTAATTTTAGAACATGGCTCCTCCACAGAAAGTAGAGCTGTAGGATTTTCTTTTAAAAATTAATTTTAAAGTAGACCAACTTGCTGTAACTCTTCATTAGAGGGCATTTAAGGTCATCTTTTCACAGGTGAACTGGTTTTCAGAATTAACGGTTTAGCAGTCATCACCAAGGAGGAGAAAGGTTCCCAGGGCCTTTCAGTGGAGAGGCTGTTTCATTGATTGGAGTTGTGCTCTCCTTATGTCTTTTATTTGATCGTTGTCTTGGAGTTTTGTTATCATATTAAAGAGTGGACTCAGAGTGGGAGGTAGCAAGGGCTTTTGGAAAGAGAGGTATCCAGGCGGTGACAGGCTCAGAGTCTGTTGCAGTGTGAAGTCCTTGAGGCTTCAGCTTGGCTTTGACAGCTGCTCCGATGGGGTGGGGGTGCCCATCATAAGACCATAAATTGCTTGACTTTTCTCCCCTTTAAAATATCATGAACCTTCCACTTGAAACTATTAAGTTTCTGTTATGAAGAATGTAACCTGTGGAGAGTATACAGTTGTGTTTTTTCAACTACAAAGGACTTTACCTCTGCCAGCTTTCCTCGAGGATTCAGTGGGAGTGTCCTCGCTAGTCCGCTCAGCATCACTAACATTTGAAGAAGGGCCATTGCCCTTTGGATTCCCTGAGTGGTGCAAACAGTTTACACACTCAGCTGCTGACTAAAAAGGTTGGTGGTTTGACTCCACCCACGGGCACCTTGGAAGAAATGTCCGGTGATCTGCTTTGGAAAATCAGCCAGCTGAGTCTTAGGGCTGATTCTCGTTGGGTCACTTCCCCATCCTTAGGCCAGTCACCTGTAGCCATGAAGTAGCATATGATGATGGACCAGTCTTGGGTCACGTACCTTTAGGTGAGGTGAGTCCAGACCCACCACAAACCTCATGGTCTGGGAGGAAGTTTTTATTCCCCAAAGACATATTCAGTTTGCTGACATTAGGAACAGTGGGAATGAACACCAGGCAGGCAGAAACAACAGATGGAGATCATGAGCAACTCTCCTTGCTACTCTGGGTAGAAATCTTAGACCCAACAGATTTCCAAGCTGCTCATTTGGCTTGCTGGGAAGAGATACACAAAACACAAAAGCAGTGAGTGGGTGAGCGTGGGGGAGCTTGAAGCTGTTTATTAAAGGAAAGTATGATTAATTCCTAAGTCATGGCCCCTTCAGCTCATCTCCACAGCTTGTCCACTGGGCCTTTTCTTTGCTGCCACTTACCAGATAATTACTGTCTTTTGTACAATATGATTAAGTGGAAGGAAAGACAATAGAGTCAGAACACAGTGCAACTGGATGTGACAGTGGTGGTTAGTATTTTTTTTAAAATCTGCATTCTTGTCCTTGTAAATATCTTTCTTGTACTCACCAGCCATAGAGCTGCCCCTGGAATTGAATGTGCCATGATTCTTGCATAATTGTTCGCAGCCATCTAAACACCATCATGATTTTTAACCTTTATGACCTGTAGGTAGGGGTAGGTGAGTGACAGAAATCTGCTCTCATTTGGAGAAACTAGGTACTAGCTTTTTTCACAAAGCAGATTTGGTAAAGTGGCAATTTGGAACTGAGATGTATCTGAGGAGCTCCGTTTCAGGAGAATCATGGTGTTGTGGTCTGTTTTAAACCCGTGAGCGCTCCTGCGTAGCTCATACTTTTCCATCTATCCCAGTACTCAGGCCCCCACTCTGTTGTTGTTGTGTGCCATCAAGTTGATTCTAACACATAGTGACCCCATAGAACAAAGCAGAACTGCCACCACACAGGGCTTTCTAGGCCGTAAATCTTTACAGAAGCCGATTGCTGGCTCTTTTCTCCCTCAGAGTGGCTGGTGGGTTTGAACCACCTGTTTCAGTTAGCAGCCAAGTGTTTAACCATTGCCCACCTTCTCTAGGGTTAGCAAATAGCTTCAGCAGGAAATACTATAATCTGTTTTTTAAACAATGAAATGCAAGAACCAGTGGATTAGAGCATTATTATGCTTCATGCTTACCTTATATAAAATTGCTTAAAATATGCTAAAAGTTTTATGTTTCCATGACTGGCTAGCAAAGAATTAGTCTGTATAACTTTCAGCAGCACAGGAGTGGCAGCACAGCATTGGAAAGCTCAGCTAGCTCTTACATACCAAAACCTTTTTTGTTCAGCTAATAAATATGCCCACATGAGTGTTCACCATCTTTGAGAGAGGATGAAACTATGGTATACACAGTCTTGAGAGTACATTCCTCCTCAGTCTTGTATTGATTTGTTTTCTTAGTTATCTGTTCAGATATACATTCACTGCCTTTCAGAAATTGCAGAGATGGTTACTGTAAATGTTGCCCCCCCCCCTTTTTTTCCCATTAAAAATAGCTTCTGTGGTTTTTCTGATAAAAGCAGTATATGTTTATTGAATAAGAAGAGAAGCAAAAAGAATAAAATTTCCCTTCCTGGACTTTTATTCTGTCTATATATACATATATACATACATGTAGATTTATATACCTATCTATACACACTGTTGTTGTTGTTGTTGTTATGTGCCGTTGAGTCAGACCCGACTCATAGCGACCCCTCCTAGGGTTTCCGAGGCAGTATCGCTACGGAAATAGATTGCCCCATCTTCCTTCCAAGGAGTGGCTGGTGGGTTTGAACCACCAGCCCTCTGGTTAGCAGGCAAGTGCCTTAGACACTATGCTACCAGAGCTCCTTATATACACTTGGATTTTTTTTTTTTTTTTTTAATTTACTAAAATGGCATTATGCTGTATATATTGTTTGTAACTCATTTTTTCATGTCAAAGTAATTTCATTGTGATTTGGCTGTAGGTGGGAATGGAAGTGGCTCCACATCTCAAAGAAAGCCTAAATAAGAACTTTTTTGACTTCCTCCTGACATTTAAACAGGTAAGAGAACACTGCAAGAACAACTGATTGATGTAACAGTTGTATGATAGCGCATTCACAAAGTCCTGCAGGTTTTCCAAGTTGAGAATGCCTCCAAACCAAAGAAACCAAACTCACTGCCGTTGAGTCGGATCCAACTCATAGCGACCCCTCCTTGGGTTTCCGAGGCAGTATTGTTACAGAAGTAGATTGCCCAACCTTCCTTCTGAGGAATGGCTAGTGCGTTTTTGGTTAGCAGTCAGATGCCTTAGGTGCTATGCCACCAGAGCTCCCAAGAATCCCTCAGAGCTCTCTAAATGTGTAAACACTTGAAAATTATACGTACATCTGTTGCAGACAATTAGAATGTGTTAATTGTACTGAACAGGCAGAGGGAATTAATATGCATGTGTTAACAGGAAATGTCTTCACTTGATCAGCATTTCATCTTAGCATCTGCTGCCTCCATTTTTTATCAGATTCCTTCTTTACTCAGCGCATGTTCCCAAAACCACTCAGCTTGGTGACATGGTAAACTTCCTGTGTGTTTTTTTTCTGTTAAAAAGCAAACAAAACCAGGCTGTTTCTCTTGGGGCTGCCGAGATGCTTACAACTATGCCCAGTCTGTGGATTCTGTGCTTTTGTTTGTTGTCTGATTCCCCGTCCTTTTCTAAGTGTGGACTTGATCTCTTGCAGATCCACGGGGATACGGTCCAGAACCAGCTGGTGCTCCAGGGAGTGGAGCTCCCATGCTACCTGCCCTTGTACTCGCCGGCCATGGACTGGATCTTCCAGTGCGTCTCCTGCCACGCCCCGGAGGTAACTGGCAGACAGCTTTGGTGTGAAGGCTCATCTCTCAGGACGAATGCTGACTTCCATCTCATTGTATTGTCACAGCTCCTACATTTGTGTGCCTTTTAACACTAACATAAGCAGTAGAGTCCCAAGGTGCAAATGGTTAATGTACTTAACTGAATGGTTAATGGCTGCTAACTGGAAGGATGGAGGTTTGAGTGCATGCATGGGTGCCGCGGAAGAGAGGCCTGGCGATCTATTTCCAAAAGAACAGCCATTAAAAACCTGTGGAGCACAGTTCTGCTGTGCCACATATGAGGGCACTGGAATTGACTCAATGGCAGCTGTCAGTTGATAACAGTCACAGCAACATAAATTGTAGCAAACCTTTTCAGAGGGTTCACTGCTGTGGCAGGTTCCATGCTGATCACTTATCCTAGATTGTCTTGTTTAACCTTCCAACAAGGGAGGAGGATGTGAACACTCAGAGAGGCCAAATACTATGTAAGGTCACATAGCAAGAAAGTGCTGGTGAGTTTATTCAAACTATGGAACCTGCCTACAGGACCAACAAGCTTTATTGCCTCTTTGCTTACCTTCATATACAAATAAAGGTAAGCAAATAATATACAAATAAAATTGGTATGGCAAGTAATATTTTCTTCATTTTACAGAAGGAAAGTAAAACTCAGATATTAAATTACTTGTATGAGATTCTTTTCTTTTTTTTTTTTTTTTTTCTAATTGAAACATTGCCAGGAATTAAAGGGACATCAGAATATAACAAATATTTTTCCCTCTGAGACTGAGAAGCGATTTCAGTAGAACAGCAGTTCAAAATGTAATAACTGTGATGGATGATGTGTTCCTTGTCTTTCCTTTAATGGTCAGTAATTTATTGTATGGGGAAGAGGAAAGGGTGACCTTGCTTGCTACAAAACAAGGATGCATAGGGAAAAGCAAAATTCAAATACACCTGCCTTTTCCTAGAACCTGCCAACATATATTGGAAATCCTAAAGAAAAGAAAGAGCGTATGAGTCTGACTAAAGCAGTCCTACTTTTTATCCCGTAGAAATACTCGGACGTGTGTGGACACACACACGTATGTTCATGATTGTTGTTGTTTTTAGCTGCTGTCGAGTTGCCCCTGACTCATGGTGACCCCATGTACAGCAGGATTGGACCATTGTGATCCTTAGTGTTTTCATTGACCGATTTTTCAGAAGTACATATCCAGACCTTTCTTCCTAGTCTGTGTTAGTCTGGAAGCACTACTGAAACCTATTTAGTTTCATAGCAACACACAAGCCTCCACCAAGAGACAAGTGATGGCTGTGAGGTACACAGGCAGGAATTGAACACCCACCTTTCTCTTTGCCTTCTCCGTTTGTTCCCTTCTCCTGCATGGAAGGGGAGAATTCTACCATTGAACAACCGATGCCTCCCTTGTTCATGGCTATTGTTAGGTGCCACTGAACTCCCATCAAGTTGATTATGACTCATTAGACTCCATGTGACAAAGGAGAACTGCCCCATAGGGTTGTATTTGCTGTAAGCTTTGTGGAAGCAGATGCCAGGTCTTTCTCCCAGAGCTCTAGGCAGGTTCAAACTGCCAGCCCTCAGCAGCTCAGTGCTTAGCTGTTGAGCCACCAAGCCTCCTTTGTTTTATGGTAGGCAATGTAAATTTTGGTCAGGAAAGAATTGATTCAATTATGGTTTATCCATTCAGTGAGATATTATGGTGGTTTGGTTCTCTAATGCTGCTCTAACAGAAAATATACCACAAATGGATGGCTTTTACAAACGGGTTTATTCTCTTACAGTTTTGGAGGCTAGAAGTCCAAGTTCAAAGTACCAGCTCTAGGGGCTGGGTGAAAGCCCCTTGACCTTGAGCTTCACTCTGCCTCTTGCTCCTGGCCCACTAGAGCTGGAGGCATCGCTTAACTCAGGCAGCTGCTGGCTGCTGACACTGACAAACCCACAGTTGACAAGTAAAATGGCACAGTCCCAAGACTATCAAGCAACATGGCAGGCCACTTGTTTAAGTCCAGAAACAGTCCCAAGATCAGCAGACAGTATGGCAGGCCACTGAGATAAAGACTCAGCCAAAAGAAGGATCTAAATGCACCAAGAAGCTCAAGACCTTTCTCAAAGCTTCTTCTTATATCCTGGAAACAGACCACATCCCTAAGGCAGCTACTCAGCTGCTCAAGCAGATTGCACTGAGTTGATTACCAGTCTCACCATGGGAAATAACTGCATCCAGCTGCCCAGCCTCTCAAAACTAGGCCCAGCCAAGTTGACACGTAACCTTAACTACTACATATGAGGTCATATAAAATAATTTAAACCCATCATGAAGAGCTTAATGAATTGATGTGAGTGTTCACACATATTGCTGAATGGAAAAAGGAAGTTGCATTGCTGTGAGTGTCACGAGCAGTACCATGGCCTCGTTGGACCCTGGAGGCAGAGTGCCTGGGTCCATATCTCAGCTCTGTCACTTATGAGCTGTCATCTTGGTTACATAGAAGCTAAGTAACTTGTCCCTAACTACTCTGAGCCTTTTTGCTTCATTTGTAAGATGGGAACAATGATGAATAATTCCTATTTTCTGGTCTTTTGCACAAATCGGACAGAATTATGCATTTAAAGTGCTCAGCATAGCACCCCTTAAATGTGTTGTGATAGCAAAAAGGTTTTTTGTTCTTGCATGAGATAGTTGGGAAGGTGATCTGACAAAATGTCTCTGGAGTGTGAGATTTTGAGTCATCTTATTTTTCTTTGATTATCTGTGTTTTTGGACTTTTCAGCAAGTATAATATGTTGCTTACATTTTTGTTTTTCAAATTCTAAAGTTTAAGGAGAAAAGCAGGAACATTTTATGCTTTGGATGAAATTTTTACCATTAAGTAAATTGATTTTAAGTCAGGCCATTTGTAAATGGAAGATGGTTTGACAATTTCCTGTCCATTCTTCTCTATGACCTTCACATTCCCAATAACCACATGCTGTCCCAGGCTCCTGGGAAGACGTGCCATTAACTTGACTGTGGAAAGAGAGCCTGAGCTGTTCCACAAAATGACTGAAACAAAGACAGGATTGCTGTGTTTAGAAATGAGAACATTTATTTTATTTTTTTGCCCTTATTTTAATAAAAGGCAAAATCAGATTTGAAATTAGAGATCCATGTCATAAAGCATTCTTCCTTTTATTTTAAGCACCAGTAATCTCAAAGGATGGTACAAATTGGAAATAGAGCTTTTCTGGGGTGTAAAACTCTAGGAAATCATTATTGTACCAGAAGAAGTGATTAAAAAATTAGGTCACCTGAATAATAAGAAACTCTGATTCTTGGGGGCACTTGAATAAAGAACTTGCAGCATCTCATAAAAAAAAGAGAAATTCCTCATCCCCAAAATGCAGAAGGATTGATGCCAGTGTGGGAGGCAACTGCGAAATGTACATACCTGTATGATGCATAAAACTTCTTTTTTTTTTTTTAAATTGTGGTGATATATATATATATAACAGAATGTTTGCCCTTTCAACCATTTTTATGTGTACAACTCAGTGACCTTAAGTTCAACATGAATTATGTTCACCATGTTATACAATTATTACCACTATTCATTTCCGAACTTTCCCATCACCCTTCAAAAGAACTCAGTTACCCTTGAGTAGGAACTCCCATTTTCTCCCTCCTACCCAGCCTGGTAACCACTAAGAAATTTTGTCCTCTGTGCATTTGGAGTATCTGAATGATGTAAACAGTTAACACACTTGACTGCTAGCCAAAAGGGTTAGTGGTTCTAGACTACCCCGAGATGCCTCAGAAGAAAGGTCTGGTGATCTACATCTGAAAACCCAGCCATTGAAAAGCCTGTGGTATAAATCTCCATCAAAGATACAGGACAATATTATTTTTTAAAAAAGAAAAGAAAAGGAAAACACTGTGGAATACCGTTCTACTCTGACACACTGGGGTCTCCATGTGTCACAATCAACTTGATGGCAACTCCTTTGTTACTCGCTTTTCTATACATTTGCTTACTCTGTTGTTGTTGTTACGTGCCGTCGAGTCACACCCAACTCATAGCGACCCCTCCTAGGGTTTCCGAGGTGGTATCACTATGGAAGTAGGTTGCCCAACCTTCCTTCCAAGGAGTGGTTGGTGGGTTTGAACCACCAGCCTCCTGGTTAGCAGTCAAGTGCCTTAGGCACTACGCTACCAGAGCTCCCTTACTTACTTTAGATATTTCATACTCTAGATATTTCATATAAATGGGTTCTTAAAATATTTGTGCTCGCCACTTTGTCAGTGGCTGGTTTGAATCAGTTGGATAGTGGAGCAGTGTGTCTTTAAGAGACCAGACCTCTAAAACAGTAGCATTGAAAAATTTGACTGCAGCAGTTGTAATCTATAAAGGCAGACAAGTAAGATAGGGGAAAGGAGAAATATCTTCAACTGAGAATAACTGATGTGCAAAATTCCAAACTGAAATTGAAATCCCAAAATAAAAATCAATGAGTCATTATTCAGAAAGACTTTAAAAAGTTTCTTTTTTTTTTTTTATTGTGGTGAAAATATACATAGCAAATACTCACCAACACAAGAACTTCCACATTCACAATATGGTGACTGAACACATTTGTCATGTTATGCCACCATTACGACAATCCTTTTTCAAAGTATTCCACTACCATTAGTGTAAATTCTGTCGTCCCAAAGAAAAATCTCCCCTACCCTTCTCCCTCCCATTCTTGGAAACAGTAATCTTTGGTTTCCGTATATTTGCTTATTTCTTGTAAGCGAGATAAGAACACTATTTGTCCTTTTGCAACTGACTTATTTTGCTCAGCGTGATGTTTTTAAGTTTGTGGCATATATCAGAACTTTGTTTCTTTTGAGGATGTATTTCATCATATGTGTGTACCACATTTTGCTTATCCATTCATCTGTTGGTGGATGTCCTGTCATTTCTACCTTTTGGCTGTTATGAAAATTGCTGCAAGCTTCTG